CTTTAGAAGCTTTGCATACAGTATATATAATATGTTTATTTAGGTATATTGCAGCATTGATTTTAACATCTTTGCCTTTCCTTGAAAAAGGCAGCAGAGTAAAAAACTGGCCTACACAACCACAATCAGAACAGCTCCTCTGCTTATAGATTTAGGTTTTCTTTCTCTGCTAAGTGTCGGCTGGAGGAAGACCAAAGAGAACTAGCAGCACCTAGAACATAGTTTCAGAATGTACTTTATGTTCAGTTACCCAACACATGTTCTAAGGGTAAACCAGAAAAACAGGCTTATCTTATGGCGTTTGTACACTTCCTCTTCTTCAATAAATTTTGCCTCAAGTACAATAAAAAGTGCTTTTCTGAAACAGACTTCTATATAGACACCCTTTGTCAATGTGCAGCAAGAAATTTGTTTTTACAATGACACCTTTCCATACACAGAGATGTAACCCAAGGTCATCTCCAGATAGCTGATGTATGTGACAGGAAAATAAGCCAACAGAAGAGGCTGGTATTAAATAGATTTAACCTAGTTTGCTCAAAGTTTGGCATAGCTTAGCCACAGAGAGGGTCTGCCCCTTTATCAAGTTTATATTTAAAGTGATTTACTTACGATGTCTAACCACTGATGGACAGCTACAGCTACTTGTGTTCCCAATGGTTTGGTTAACACCAGCACATCTCCTGGTACCGCATTGTCTGGCCTAGAAGTAATGAACATATCTTTTTAAAAAGCTCATGTGCCGTCATTATTTTTCAGTTAATTATTCTCCAAAGTTTATTTGATATGATCCAAAGATCTTATTTTTGTAATTAAAAACAGAATGAATACAACCGAAAAAGAAACTCAGTAGTTACCATAAGTTATTTTAAATTACATTTTTTTTCATGTATCCCCAGATAATCATCAAGGCTGACAAATATATAATGAAGATTATCCGTAGATCGTATTGGAGTCACATTTAATGCTAACACAATAATTTTGCCTTAAAAGGAAATTGTTTGTCTGCTACTTCTATATAAAAAAAAACCTTCTGGATAAGTTTTTGTTGCCTTTATTTTAGACATTGAAAATAAGACAGATTTTCAGAGTCTGGATATTTAACAGCTGGAATCGTGAAGTGATTTACACTCACACTGTTCTTCCAATTTGGATGAAATAGACCAGCTCATCAGTGAAAACATAAAAGCTCAACATAACCAGAGTAAGGGCATTTGTTGAGCTGCTATTATAAGGAATGTTCTGTTGTGCAGGCTCTGAGGTGTTGCTTGATTAAAAAAAAGTACAGGAAGCCAGAAGTTGCCTTTAAGCGTTACGTTTTTATTCAGCTGAATAAAGTTGGGCTCCTCTAAAAGAGAGAAGCCCCAAATGATAAGAAATCCTTGTATTTATTCTTTCTGATTACATAAGCAATCCACCCAGCAAAGCTGACACACCATATGATAAAGATTTCACCCAGTAAGTCTGGCACATTGTAGATAAGAAGGGAGAAAGCAGAAGTAGCTAAAAATGTTCCCTTTTGGGTGTTTCCCGAAAGACATCGTGGTGGGTTAGGACACTGGGTGTTTTATCTTTCCTTTCCTTTCCTGACCCTGCATCCATGACTCTGCAAGTGCCCAAAGACAACATATGTGCCATCTGCACATATTCACAATTGATGCTTCCTATGCTGTCCCCTAATTCCGGGTCAACAGTTCAAGTGTCACTGAAGCTGTAATGTGATCTTTTTTTGTTTTCCTTACAGCATTATTTTAATCCNTGGTTGCCGGTGGCCTTCCGGGTGCGCTTCAAGGTGTTGGTCATCATCTTCAAAGCGCTCCATGGCATCGGACCTGGATATCTCCGAGACCGCCTTCTGCCGCAGATTACCTCCCATCGGCCGGTACGCTCCCACAGAGTGGGTCTCCTCAGGGTGCCGTCAGCCAGACAGTGCCGGCTGGCGACCCCCAGGGGGAGGGTCTTCTCGGTGGGAGCTCCCACCCTCTGGAACGAACTACCCCCAGAGATCCGGGTGATCCCGGATCTCCCTTCCTTCCGCCGCGCCCTTAAGACATGGTTCTTCCAACAAGCGGGACTGGCCTAAGGGGAATTTTTAGTGGGGTTTTAAGAATAATTTTAATTTGACACAGGCCATATCAAATATTTCATTTTAATTAGGTTTTAAAGTGGGTATTTTTATCTTTGTATTTGTTTTACCAGGCTGTCAGCCGCCCTGAGTCCGTAAGGAGAAGGGCGGGATAAAAATCCAAATAATAAATAAATAAATAAATAAATCCTGCACGTGTGCGGGCGGGGCTTCGCTCGCTTGCGCGGCCGGTTGCTGGCGGGCCGTGGATCGGTGCCGGTGTGTGGCCCGGGGTTAGGTACCCCTGTAGTAAAGCACCTCACTGGGTTTCCAAAACATTCAACAGAGTTTGGAGAAACATTCTATTTGAAAATTGCAAGGGAAGCTAGCAAAAATGTGCAGCAGCCCTTTTATTTTATTTCAGCTGGACGGAAGCTAGTTCTCCATGACTTGTTCACACAACCTGTGAAGCCACGAACAAGCAAACCATATTATGCCTTAGAGAGCTAACCACAGTAGAGTTGTAAATGATGTGTTCTCCTTAGAGAGCTTGTGCAGCCAAGCATGGTAAAAATGCATGGTGGCTTACGGAAATGTGTGACTCCCACTTCCCATTGCAACTTTCTAACGTTATTAGGAATGTTAGATAAAGATGTAATGAGCTTTTCTCTCCGTCACTCAATTATTTAAACTTTCTTGTGCAACTGCCTCCCAAATTCCGTGAGGAAACGTGGAAGTCTTTTTTGGTTTAATTCAGATTGAGAACATTATACGTTGTCATAAAATAATGAGCATCAGAATAAACGCCCGTTCAATGTATTTTATTATCAGTTCTGAAACGGATACAATGAATTGTTACAATTATGAGGGTTTATTTTTTGCCTTTCATGATTTTGAATTGTTTGAATGTAATAATCACACCAGAATCTGTATTGTTAGGGATTTTCAGTATTTGCAAGGACTGTAATATAATAAGCAAGAGCAACTGCTAATCGAAAGAGCAGAGGTGGACAACCGGAAGATTTAGGGCTATAGATGCTTGAAATATCATTTACTTTTTATTGTGCAATGTTAATTTGTAGGTACACTGAGTAATATATTAGCGTTTCTTGTCATCACAATTTAAGGAACTTACCCTATCTGTCATTTTATTACTGATGCCAAGAAGCATCAACATATTGTCACATTCGGTAACTCCCATGGCGTAAAGATCACTAAGGACATTGGCACAGGCGATGCGTCCCTGGAAAAAGCAACACAAACAATTCTCATTGAATTGTTATTTTAATGCTCAACCTGCTTTCTAAGACAACCTTAAAAAGAGACTGAAATTTGAGATGGTAGATGGAAGAAGGGTAATGAATAATAAAACAAAAAGCATGACACCAATTTATTTACTTACTGGGATGGAAAACAGTTTTAAACATTAAAGCAATCTTAAACAGAACCAACAAGAAAACCAACAAACCTTGAAAAACAACGTATGTAAAACAATTTTTCATTTTAAACAAAAACAATGCATCACAGGAACGTGCAAAGCATTTAAGCGCACGCGGATAAAAATTATCTAAATCGCTCTGGCAGCTTTGTTTTTTCAGATTTACAAAGCTCAGAATGGTTGCTTCACAGGCTTTCTCAGGTAGCGTGTAAGTTCACTGCACATATGATATTTCTTCTGGCAAAGCAAAGCAGCTGTATTAAGAGCTCCAGGGGGCACCACCAGAAATGCACATGGTTTAAACCAGTGGTTCTCAACCTTTTTAATGCCGCGACCCCAACCGGTCGTATGTTGAGGACTAAACCGGCCGTAAGTTGAGGACTAAACCGGTCGTAAGTCGAGGACTGAACCAGTCGTAAGTCGAGGACTACCCAACCGGTCGTAAGTCGAGGACTTTCCCTGCCTGGGAGCGCCGTGCATGCGTGGTTCTGCCCCCTGCGCCGGCCGAGATGTAGCTGGCAAGCGGCAGAGACGGAGCAGGCCGACCACCAGCTGGCCCAGCCCAAGGGAGGTAAGGCACCCGCCGGAAAAGGGGGAAAAAATGGCGGACAAAAAAAATGGCGGACAAAAAAAATGGCGGACAGCCTTGCTTGGCGACCCCCGTGAAATGGTCAATCGACCCCAAATGGGGTCCCGACCCACAGGTTGAGAACCACTGGTTTAAACTAATATCCACTGCTAAAAAAATCCTCTGAATATTTTGCCTGGTCCTATGCTTTGTGGGCCTCGTCACAGACCACATTTTGGGACCAGTAGTGTGATTTGGTATAGTCAATAAGAGAGAGAAGTTAAGTAGCAAACAGAAATTCCCTGTGTATTATTTTCCTTTGGGTAAACTAGTAAATTCTGATTTTTTTAATTGTTAAAATCTTTTGCTCTGAAGGTTTACCTGAATACAACAGACTACTACTGAATTCCTTATACAGTGGTACCTCGGTACTCATCGTAAATTGGTTCCGGGAGGCAAAATGAATACCAAAAACAATGAGTACCAAATAAATCTTTCCCATAAGGAATAATGTAGTGCAGAGGTCTCCAACCTTTCCGGGCTTGCGGACCGGAGGAAAGGAGAGCAGTTTCAAAATTGGTGCATGCGCATGCATTCACGGGGCCACGTACACTGGCGAAGCACTAGCAGCCTCGTTCGTGCATGTGGCATACGCTGGTGCCGTGTGCATGTGCGAACGACCGCACAAACCACCCGGGCTAGCTGCGCAGGCGCAAACGGGCTGCGGACACCCACCTCGTGCTAACGTCCCTGTTTGCGCCCAGGCGAGTGGGGGGGAATGCACGCCCACGCGTGCGTGCACCGGCCAGCCATTTCTGCGACCCGCTGGCCAAGAGTCCGTAGGGACACCTGATGTAGTGAGTCACAAGGCAGCCGACACTGACAAGTTCTAGCTTGGTACATTGAGTACCGAACAAATGATGAGCACTGGGACAAAAAAATTTCACGTCAAAATGCGTCGAGTACCAAAGCAGTTGAGTACCAAGATACCACTGTATAAGGCCATCATTTATTTAGTTAAGAGTAGAAATAATTTAAATGCTCAAGCCAAGATTACTCTCGAGCTGAAAAAAAAAAGGAATTTCTTCAAAGGTCTGGTAGCTCCAGACAAAACTGAGAAAGATTAAACCAAAGCCAGGTGAAATCAATGGTCTTTCCTCTATCCCCATTTCTCCACAGTTCTTATTTGACAAAAAGCGGCAAACATTTTTAGGCATCTTACCATCATATAAGGGTCGTCCACAATGGGATAAATGTAGTCTGTTGTCTGCACCAAAGACAAGCCTCCGTGCCTCAAAGGAATAACACACGTATCCATGCCAATTCCTGTAATAAAAGTAACTTGTTTTATTTTCAGAATTTGGCCTGTTCTTGTAATTTCCTTTCTATTTCTAGTGTATAGAGCAGGGGTAGGCAACCTTGGCTCTTTTATGACTCATGGACTTCAACTCCCAGAATTCCTGAGCCAGCATGGCTCAGCTTGGAAACCTCTCCCTTTCCCCTCAGCATGGCTGGCTCAGGAATTCTGGGAGTTGAATTCCACGAGTCACAAAAGAGCCAAGGTTGCCTACCCCTGCCCAAATGCCTGAATTTTGATCACGTGACCATGAGGAAAAAATATTTAAATATTAAACCAGGGGTCTTCAAACTTGGCCCTTTTATGACTGGTGGACTTCAACTCCCAGAATTCCTCAGCCAGCATGGCGGAACTATGGCCCCCTCATGGCTTGTGGACTTCAACTCCCAGAATTCCTCAGCCAGCATGGCTCAGCTTGGAAACCTCTCCCTTTCCCCTCAGCATGGCTGGCTCAGGAATTCTGGGAGTTGAAGTCCACGAGTCATAAAAGAGCCAAGGTTGCCTACCCCTGGTATAGAGTAATCCAAACTGCGCACATCCTAGTGCAACTCTGAAAGCAACGAATGATAGTTGTGTTTCTTTTCTCATCGACGCTGCTACGTTCTTCAGCATTGTCTTCCCGAGGACTCTTCACAAATTTTAAGAACTGTTGATGTTTCCTCCTGCAGCAGCAGCCCTACAAATATTTGATAAATCGCCTGACTGCCACATTATTAGGAATATAGTTCTTTCTTTATATCGTACCAGTGAGAGACTCTAATCCCCTCTTTCCATGATGAATTTAACAGACAGATTTGTCCTGCAAACCTGTTCTATTTTCCACACTCTAAAAAAAAAGAATATAATGAATAAGTTTTTAAATTAGTCAAAATGTGAGAACCTGCATCAAAACTCCTCTATTGAAGGAATATTATATAGTTAGCAAAAAATAGATAGGTACGTGATTCGTCCTTGACTTTCAGATGGAATTCATTTTACACTGCTCAAAGTTTGATCACATGACTACGGGGGTCCTGCAATAGACATAACTTTGGCCATGCGTCATAAGTCATAACTTTGAACAATTGCTGAATGAATGATTGTAAGCTGAGGACTACCTGTACCTGGAACGCTAAGGTAAAGACCAATATATGGTTTTGGTTTTTAATATCGTTTGCCTTTTCACTTATATGTCTCCAAGCCAGATGCACCAAAATCAGAAAAACACAAAAATAATTAACATGGACTAAATCAGGGGTCTCTAACCTATGGGCCGCGGCCCGGGACCGGGCTTCAGGCTCTCGGCCAGCGATGGCTGGCCAGTGCGCGCATCCCCCCACTCGTGCTAGTGCCCACAGCCCCATTCGCACATGTGCGCAGGTGCGAATGGGGATGTTAGCACGGCGCAGGTGTCCGCAGCCCATTTGCGCATGCGCCCACTAGCCCGAGTGATTTGTGTGGCCCATTCGCGCATACGTGAATGGGCTGTGTGGCCGTTTGCGCATGCGCATGGTGCCAGCACATGCTGCATGTGTGAACGGGACTGCTAGTACCGCACCAGTGTGCGTGGCCCCATATGCACGTGCATCAATTTTGAAGCTGCTCTCCTTTCCTCTGGTCCGCGAGACCGGCAAGGTTGGAGACCTCTGGACTAAATTCACCATTAGCAGGATATGATTTTTAAAAAAAAAGACTCCCATTTTAAGATTAAAAATAAAAAACATACCTATAAAAAGATTTACACTTAACAGCATTTTCATACATTAAGGCAATAATCTTGCATATAAATGCTTTTTGTTATAAAGTGGAAAGTCAAAGGTTTTAAAATTGTTATGGAATCCAACAGTTTTCATATTACTATCTGAGACGTAACTAAAGGAAGCTGCCTTACATCTGAGCCAGACCACAACAGTTTTTTGCCGATATGTTCCCATATGGTTTTAGGTAGAAGATTTTTAATCGAGGCGTCTTTATGTTCCGCTCTTTAATAATGTGCATCAAAGATCTAAGAAACAAATATAACCAGTAAAAGGTATTCTTACCCAATCTTGGCATAACAGCCCCCAAAAACTGTTCATCTTCTTGGAAGTGGTTTTCTTGTAAGGATTCAAGCAATTTCTGCAAAATGTCCTGAGGCACTTTACAGCCGGTGCCTTTAAGTTCCGTGAATCGGGTTAACCGAAAACTTTTGTCAAGTTCGTAACTTTCTGGATTAAAGGACTCTCGAACAGACATGATTCTCACCCTGTAAGTAACCACAGATGTTCTTCTTTATGAAATAGGTTGGTTATCCTAGGTTTAAAAAAAAAAATACAAACACATAGCATAAAATTCGCCTTTTACGATAGTTATAGATTCTATGTAAAAATATGAACTCCCAACTATTTTTGCATGGAAAAATGCAAGAAAATTCTCTGTGAAACAGCCTCTTAAGATTTCATTTTGGTCTGGCCCGAAATAAGTTTAAATATGTTTGCCTTACATATCTCCCAGAATTTCAGTCGTCTTTTCACCCATTTGTTTTGGTTTTTCATTGCATGCTTGGAATTAGAGATAATTTGTACAATGATGGCAGTTTAGTTCAAACTTCTGGGGTATTTCTTCCAGCAGTTTAAGTGAAATAAAATAATGCCCCGAAGGATGCCAATCATGTCAATTTGGGATCTATATCATCTATCAATATGACTCAATAATTTGCTACCCTAAACTCAGACAAGAAGAAATGGATCCAAAGATAATTTGGAATGAATCCCAGAGAATCAATATTCTTCAAGACTATCTGAAAATGACAGCTACCAGATGATCTAGAGCAGTGGTGGCGAACCTATGGCACGCGTGCCAGAGGCGGCACTCAGAGCCCTCTCTGTGGGCACGTGCACCATGCCCGGGAGATGGCAACCGTCCCTCTTCAACCAGCCGCCCGCTAACTCGCCAAAGTCGCAGATGGCTGGATGCATCCCAGCACCCATGCGCTCGCTGGCCTCTGTGTGCAGGGGCCGATGGTGTCAGGCAGCAGCGGCCCCTGCCTCACCCTGCCCTGTGACAGTGGCACCCCACCCTGCTTCACCTCACCCCGCAGGACGAGCCTCCTGCCCACCGCTCCACCTGCCAGAGACCCCCTGGATCTCCCCCAACCCTGCTTGACCCCCACAGGCGTCCCTCCCCATGAGCAACATTGAGGTGATCACGCCCACCTTGGCCAAACCCACCCAATCTGCCATGACCACCACAGCCACCCAGTGGGCCACGCCCACCTGGCACCCGGCAATAAATAAGTGGGTTTGGGGTTGCAGTTTGGGCACTCGGTCTCTACAAAGTTCGCCATCACTGCCCTATACCATTTCGGACAAATGGCTGTCCAGTCTCTTCTTAAAAACCTCCAGTGTTGGAGCATTCACCGCTTCTGGAGGCAGGTTGTTCCACTGGTTAATTGTTCTCACTGTCAGGAAGTTTCTCCTTAGTTCTAGGTTGCTTCTCTCCTTGATTAGTTTCCATCCATTGCTTTTTGTCCTGCCTTCAGGCGCTTTGGAGAATAGCTTGACTCCCTCTTCTTTGTGGCAGCCCCTGAGATACTGGAAGGCTGCTATCTTATCCCCCCTCGTCCTTCTCTTCATTAAACTAGACAGACCCAATTCCAGCAGCCGTTCCTTATATGCTTTAGCCTCCAGTCCCAGTCTATGGAGATTCTCAATCATCCAAGGAATGGTGGTCCAAAAGGTCCTTTTTTCCCCAAAGGCAACCGGACTTTCTTGACTTACAACAGTTCGTTTAGTGACCGAAGATACAAGGGCACTGAAATATGACCATTTTTCATACTTTTAGGACGGGTGCAGCAGCATCCCCATGGTCATGTGATCAAAATTCAGAGGCTTAGCAACTGCTTCATACTTACGACCGTTGCACTGTCCCAGGGGTCACGTGATCCCCTTTTGCAACCTTCTGACAAGCAAAGTCGATCTGGGAAGCCAGATTCACTTAAAAGCCGTGTTAGGAGCAGCTGCAGTGATTCACTTAACAACCGTGGCAAGAAAGGTCATAGAATGGGGCAAAACTCAATACATGTCTCACTTAGCAACAGAAACTTTAGGCTCAATTGCGTTCGTAAGTTGAGGACTACCTGTACTGGACTTTCTTGGGGTTTTTTTCCCCCTTGAAAACACTTTGTTTCTCATCCAGGAAGCTTCTTCAGTTCTAAACTTCTGTTTTCAAAGCAAGAAAAACAAAGTCCAGTTGCCTTTTGGGGAAAAAGCAGCTTTGGGACAATCATGATCTGGATGACTGAGAATCTCCATAGACATCCCAATTCACGGACCTCATCTGAACTGAAAAAGCTTCTTGGATGAGAAGTGAAATGTTTTCAAGGGAAAAAAAAAAGACAAAGTCCAGTTGCCTTTTGGGGAAAAAGCACCTTTGGGACCCGGGGTTCACCGAATCGCTTGGGTCTCTGTGTTGCACTTTTTAGCCAAGGGAATTATATAAACTCAGCACTGGTGTCTCCGGCCTTCAATTGGCTGGAAACTCTCTTTCTGTTTAAATTCATGGCTTTTCCAAAGAGCCAGGATGATACGCTTGGAATATTGCAGGCGTCGCTCCAAAATGTTGTCACATTTCTGGTGTGTTTGTGTGTAATATTCCATGTGTATAATGCCTAAAATAGTGATGGCGAACCTTTTAGAGACTGAGTGCCCAAATTGCAACCCAAAATCCACTAATATATCGTCGGGTGCCAGGTGGGCGTGTCCCATTGGGGGGTGTGGCCCATTGGGTGGGCGTGTCTTTGGTGGTAATGGCAGACTGGGTGGGACTAAAAAGTTCAATCAATCAATTCCAACTTTGCAAGATCTTTTTTTTCCCCGCAAGAAGTTGAAATTGATTGATTGAACTTTTTTTTTTTGCACATGGCGGCGGAGGCCTAAAGTAAAAAGGTTTTATAAAACCCAGCTGAAGGCCTAGGAGTGGGGCGACGGCGCACGTGCCCACAGAGAGGCCTCTGAGTGCCACCACTCGCCACCACGGGTATAAGGTTTCCTGCCTGAGCAGAGGGTTGGACTAGATGACCTCCAAGGTCCCTTCCAACTTTATTATTATTATATTATTAATCAAGGAGAGAAGCAACCTAGAACTAAGGAGAAACTTCCTGACAGTTAGAACAATTAATCAGTGGAACCACCTGCCTCCAGAAGAGGTGAATGCTCCAACACTGGAAGTTTTTAAGAAGAGACTGGACAGCCATTTATCTGAAATAGTATAGGGTTTCCTGCCTGAGCAGGGGGTTGGACTAGATGACCTCCAAGGTCCCTTCCAAGTTTATTTTTATTATTATTATTATTGATCATCGCAGTCAGCCAGATGTTCAGACTGGATTTGCCATTTCTGTCTACCTATCGAGTCCTTACCAAGAACCTGGCATAGGCAGATGTGGATGTTTGATGGCATTATTATTATTATGGATCATCGCACAGTCAGCCAGATGTTCAGACTGGATTTGGCATTTTGTCTACCTATCGAGTCCTTACCAAGGACCTGGGATAGGCAGATGTGGATGTTGGATGGTATTACAGATATCGTCGCAGGATGGAAGCAGTTCCTAGTAAGGCCGCCTTTTGCAATTGACTAATAGCGAATTTGTCAATGCCAATGGTGTTCAAGTGGTGCTCCAGTTGTTTTGGGATTGCACCCAAGGCGCTTATTACTATTGGTACTACCCTTGCTTGCCTTTGCCACAGTCTTTCTATTTCTATTTGTAGGTCTCTGTATTTTGTTATCTTCTCCAGTTCTTTCTCGTCTATTCTGCTGTCTCCAGGCACTGCCACCTCCACTAGGCACTGCCATGTCCAATTATTATTATTATTATTATTATTATTACTATTATTATTATTATTACTAGTATTATTATTATTATTACTAGTATTACTATTATTCCCAATTCACTGAACGAAAGAAGCTTCTTGGATGAGAAGGGAAACGTTTTCAAAGGAAAAAAAAACCCCAAACCCAAGAAAGTCCATTTGCCTTTTGGAAGAAAAGCCCCTTTGGGACTACCAAGGCCTTGGATGACTGAGACTCTCCATGGACCAGCAAGGTTCTTCGGGTCAGTCCCGATGGCAGCAGCCCAGCCAGGTCCAGTCGACAAGCTTTTTGGGCGGGGCGTAATCCGGAGTCGCTCCGAAGCAAGAGCCAGACTGGGAGTCCTGGCCTGCCTTCGGGGGAGATGGATCCACCACGTGGGGGGAAGCCCAGCGAGGGCGGGGGGGGCGGCGGC